GTGGTAACTAAAGGGAAAAACTATCAATTCTATTTATTGTTTTCCTAATGAAAACAACACAAGAAAAATCTACTACAAATAACTGTTTTACTTGATGAGATTTTTTATTAAAATATAGAAGTATGCAATCGGTCCAAACTTTCGCAACCTACGTATCTCAGTTATTTCAATATGCCACAGTATGGTTAACACTAGTTTAGTTTTGAAAAGAAAAGCTATAATCATAAGTAAAAAAGACTCGAGCAAGATTTTAGAACAAAGGACCCAGTTTGTCACTCAATACTAAACCATACTTACCAGTCTTTACTTGTACTCGACCAGTATTCAACTTAAAAAAATCATTTTAATGAGTCTGAATCATACTTGACCAAAGTCTGAACCATATTCGACCAAGTTTGAACCATACTCGACCAAGTCTTAACCATACTCGACCACGTCTTAACCATACTCGACCAAGTATTAACCTTACTAGACCAATTCTGTAACATACTCGACCTAATCTTAATTTATCTCTCTTATTTTTCTATTAGAGTTTTTTTTAAAAGATTAGTTTACCTTGGCTAGACCAAGACGTATAATAACTGAAAATAAAACACAATCAAAGCAAATGGAAGTACATAAATGTAAAAATAAGTCGTTTGGAGTAAAATAAATTATAGTTATACATTCAAGATTGATAAAGTCAAGGTTTATTGGTCAAGTAAATTTCTGAATTTGTTCGAGTATGGTTAAAACTTTGGTCGACAATGGTTCCGAACTTTACGTCCTTTGGTCGAGTGTTGTTTAGACATTGAAAACAGGTCCAGAACTGGTTAAGTACAGGTCGAGAATGAGTTAAGACTGTTTAAACCTGATCGAGTATGAGATCAGCTATTTCGTATTGTAAGGATTAGGGTTAATGACAAGTTCAGAAAGTTTCTTTAGGTTCAGACTACAGTCGGTTTCAAAAGGTAAACACATGCAGATTTTTGTAAAACAATTTGGAATACTAAAGTATCTGAGTTACAAAAGTATGCTCTTAATATGTGTAACAATTCTTTGAAATAATTAATCTTTATCAAAATTTTATGATTTTGGTAAAAAAAAACGGCATTTTCTGCTGCATATTTATCTGATTTGAAAAAAAAATCATGGGTGACTTTGTCATAAGAAATGGTACACATAATCTTCATAAAGTATCAAGTCAAATGTCCTTTTAAAAAAGAGGGGTCCATGTACTCGTTTTCAAGCTAATGATTAAAATCACTCGAAAAATGCTTTTTTACCCGATTTACGTCATTACCTCCCCTGTAACTGTATCGTATGCCCTTAAATAAGACTACAATACTTTATCTCTTTAAACGATAAGGAAACCACATCACGGTTACTAACAAAAACTGAAGAAATCACATAAACTCTAATAAGAACAAAAAGGTGTACGTCTAAGAGTGATGAAAAGATCGGTCGTCTCATTTGGGTATCACCGGCATTGTTTTAACGAGATTTTGAAACATCGTTACTTTAAACTTTAAGTTATGCAAAGGATGAGGTACATTTTTGGGTTTATTTGGCCCTGTAACTTCAAATGACGTCATTTTAGTGACATACAGCACACGCGATATCTTGTCAGCTTCTAGATAAGCACCAACTACACTGCCTTGTGTGAATATTATTTTTGGGTCAGGATTATTTCTATGTTAATGATAAGCATATGTAAGACAATTTATCACTTTTTGACAACCTGGCCAAATGACGTACATGTAATGTAAGAAACTATGGATCACATTCATAATATGGCGGGGTTTGCAAGTAATCAACCATATTTTATCTAAGACAGTTGTACAATAGCACAACATCAGAGCAAACTGTAAAACCATTTATAAAACACTTGACTAATCAGATCCTAACAACATCTCAAAAGTCTAAACCTAAAAATGTACGTTTTGCTGAAATATTTTGGACTCAATCATCACTGAAAAGGCATTAATTGTCCAAATGCTCATCTAATGTAGTTCATCATGAGTCTCACAATAGTTCTCGAAATCACTCCTTACCTGCAGTTAAGGAACCATCATATATAGAATTACATGTATATTCACATTCGTGACCTTTCTTATACTGTTACTAGCTAAAATCAGGCCATTGGTTTTCATTTTGGTATTCTTGTCTTCTATTTTTGATTGTGTATTTTGTTTATAGATTGTCTATATTCCATTTTGTTTTTCTTATTTTAAATAGTTATTTGTTTTATAGTGATTAAGAATATAAAACAATGCTAATTGCTGTACCCCAATTTTTGACATTTTTACCTATTATGTCTGTTTGTTTTGCTCACACAGTGTTGTCCATATAATGATATTCAATATGACTATCATACAAGTGAGAGGTTTAGCTAGCTATAAAAACAGATTTAATCCACCATTTTCTAAATAAGGAAACGCCTGTTCCAAATCAGGAATATGCAAATTGTTTTCCATTCGTTTGATGTGTTTGAGTGTTTGATTTTCTATTTGATAATGGATTTTCCGTTTTGAATTTTCCTTGGAGTTCGGTATTTTTGTTATTTTACTTTTGTTTTTCATTTTTTTTACCTTTCATAGCTTACAATACGATACTACTTTACTCATTTTTCAAAGAATGTGCAGTGAACGTTACTTGTTTATACCCTTGATCTTTGGTCAATCGTTGATTATTGTCCCATGTGAAATCATACAATATCTCTTTTTATACTAGAACACATCCGCGGGTCTGTGACTGGATTAAAAACTACACCTTTTTTTTAGCCTGAATTTTTAGTATTCGTATTGTCATCAGATAAAATCATGCTTATTATAAAGTCCACAGTTTTCTCTGCTTTCAAATTCTTTCTGTTTGAACCCGTCGACCAGGAACTTGTTAATTATTGGTAATTATAATTATGTGGAAAACAAAAGGGCCTGAAATGGTGTAAATTTTTATCAACACCAGTTATATATAAAGTTGAATTCTTTGATTTTTAGTTTTTCGTCGTGCCGGCTAACAAATTGGAAAATTTCTACGCCTTATTTTTTACCTGGATTTTTAGTATTCGTATATTCATCTGAAAAAATCGTGTTGATTATAATGTGCACAATTTTCTCTGTTTTCAAAATCTTTCTGTTTCAACACGTCTTGGTTTTCATACTAAATCCGGAAACTACATGTGACAATGGTTGAATTTAGTCCCTGTATAATGACGAAGCTCAGGTGTGATAATGAACCGTGTGTATAGCTAATCCCAAATATATTGTTTGGTGGTGCGCTTTACAGAGGCAGAACGTATAGATTATGTAAGAGGTAACAGGTGACATATTCTATTGGTATCGGTATCGGTTTCGACCCGGAACTTGGTAATTATTGGCAATATTAATCATGTGGAAAACAAAAGTGCCTGGAATGGTGTAATTTTTAATAAACACCATTGTCCTATATTAGTTATATATAAAGTTGAATTCTTTGTTTCGTGGATTTTACGTCATGCCGGTTTAAAAATTGGACCTCGTTATTTAGAAGTATAGATATCAAAAATCCATAAAATCTTGGATTTGCTTTGACGCTATCAGTAAAATGAGACTTAGCATACGATTTCAGATTCATCAAATTTGTATTTTCTGTAATTTCTGGTTCGAAAATAATTATCTAACGTCACAATAAAATACCTCAAAATTGCTTAAAACGCAGCAGAAAACTTTAAATTTCTATAAATTTTTATACGAAATTTAATGGTTTGCATCAGGAAATCCGAAAAACCAGTTTTGCAAAAATTTCTTCAATTTTAATATATAAAAAATTTCAAATGCTTTCAAGGGAAATCAATCTCAATTTTGTATGTCAAAATCAGGTTGAACGAAATTCTGTTTACAGAATCATCAATACTAGACTAACTATAAAGTTACCAGAATAAATCTAAGTTGGCCTGTTAATCAACTGCATAGTGTAGTTTCTTCTTTGATAACTAGTACTGTTTTAAAGAACATATACAAAAAATCAAATATAAAGGTTAGATTGCTTCCTGCTGATAAAAAAATGACTGAGTTAACAAATACTGCTTTACATTAAACTGATGTGTGTGATGTACAAATTAATATGTTATGATATAATTTACAAAGCTATTTATCACAGAAATATAATCTGATATCCAATTTGTTCCGTCTCTTGCCCGATGGGATGGAACTGATGTCTTTAACTGTTCAATATTTTTGTATTGTATATTACATCAATCTACATAGTATCTGTTAGTTTTGATTATGTTTGTATGGTTGACTTTTAGAAAGAAAACATGTCAAAGCAGCTTTCTGATTCTCGGAAATTTATCATTTATGGGTTGTTTTTTTTTTTTACATGTAAAGAAAGTACTTAAAAGTTATCAGAATGTAGTAACTACGATATCATTGGAACTAAAACTATCAAGTTAAATACAAAATACATATTAGTCAGTTTGTTTCAACTTGCAGAAGTGAATATCATTTGATATTTATAGATTATCATTGGTTATCTCAACGAGATTGATTTTCTCGCTTGAGCCGGAACGGCGAAAGTGAGAAAAGCACTCGAGTTGAGATGACCAATGATAATCAGTTTATCGCTATTTTACCTATGACAACGTTGTTAATTTCATTGACAATGGCACGTGTTCCCTTAGTTTCTAGCGATAATATTTCATATTACTCGACTCCGCTGAGAAAGGAAATAATCAGTCAGCAAGATCAAAGGAAAATATCGTAAAATAGCGATAATAACAATTATAGTTAATTTGTTGTACAGTGTGTTATAAGTGTACATTTAGTTACAGAGTAATTATCAAATACATTCACTTTCTTCCTAAAGGAGAGATTTCTTCTCAATCAAGTTAGTAATCATGGCATGGAAGCATATACAAGCGAAATGAGCATTAATTGCTTGTAGCTGTGTACATTCAATTAAAAGCGTAAGTTGAATAAAATATAGTTTATTTCATTGGTTAAACTTAGCGGAAAAGGTTTTTAAAAAAGATTTAATAGATATTTGTGTTGTACCTGCAGCATCATGAACTCGACTTATTTGGAAAATGGCACGGACACCAAAATGATATCAACACCATTATACATGTACCTTTGGGTGACTTTTATGAATGTTGCTATGTTTATTACTGGTTTTTTCGGTAATACTTTAGTTATAATAGTGATTCTGAGATACAAGAATATGAAGACCATTACTAACTGCTGTTTACTGAATTTAAGTATGTCAGATCTACTTACTCTCACCATATGTCAGACTTCGGCCCTGATGGAGTTCTTTAGTCATGATAGATGGATACTTGGAGAAGCTTTATGTGAGTACTAGTAATTCATAAATACCATATATAAAGGAAATAAGAGTTGCAAGTATCAATTTCAAAATTGACGGTGGCAACTCTTAAAATATATTACTGATGTCCCGTTGCAAATCTAATGCTAACAAAAGATATTGAATATATAGGAAACGTCTACTGGGAGTGCGCAATGTTATTGCAAATGTCTTTGACAGTCGACAGTTGGCATGGCATGGCAACAACTTAATCAAAATACAAATGGCAAAAAAACATATTATATCTCATTAGAAAAGTATATTTATCATTGGTATATCCCTTTTAAACCATATATAAAAACCGAAAAAGCCTCTCTTTTGGATGAAAGCAATATCATTTGCATCTTGTTCAAAGGTAAAGAAAATTTGTGTTATTAGCTGAATTTCATGTGATGTCGGGTTCAACATTATCCATACTAGGAGCATTTCGTGACAGGTTGACAACAACTTTTCAATATAACTCGTACTCTTTGTGAACGCGGAAGCAAATTATTCATATTAGGTGAATCTAATTCGACATCGATGACTTGATTACATTTAAATAACATAACATAACATAACATATTAATGTAAAAAAGTTATTTTAAGAACAGACTGTGCAAGATCCGTATTAATATCTTCTTTATAATTTGCTTCAAACTGAATAGAGCTACAAAACTAAATTAAACACAACCAAATTTCATAATTTTAATTCATCTTTGGTTTTTGAAATGAGTTCAAGACTACAACATAACCGAAAGTTCGGTGCGGGGATCTGTGCGTACTATATATGCTGCTTGAATGATTTTTACCTTAATATAAAAGGTGGTAATTATTTACCATGCCAAAATCTCTAGAAATAACATGACCAGGGGACGATGAGCAAGATTCATCTGGAGGTTTTGATTTTACAATCTTAAGGGTAAAGGTCCTTAATGCCTTTTTGTGGTTAAAAATCTTGGATGCAATTGGTTTAGTGAGGGTTTATGGAATGGCAGGTGTAGTTTTATCTTTGAAGAGAACATGTATTGTTTTCTGCACAGATGTTTTGAAAAATAATTGCTGATATTGATTGTATCTAAATCCTTTTAAGCGAATTCTACATTAAATAAATATCTAGCTTTATATTTGAGGACCATAATTGATACACCAGTACAATATTTTGGATATCTGTGTAGGTCATATTGCTATTTAAACGGTTTTTTAACATCTGAATCCGAGATTTAAAACAGCTTGTACATATTAAATATTGAAACTGAGGAAAGATACCAATGGGGCAACCGAAAAAAACTAGAATGGACGAAAGGACTTCTAACAAAATTACAACAAAGCACAAAAATCTAAGGATTAAGATTTACGCACCCATCCAAAAATATAACCTAAGGTGCTCCGGATGTGGCACCCGTAATGTTGCTAGTGCAAGTTAAAACCCAGAAAGTTGAATTTGGTATTATCACAATAGCAATAAAAAGACGGGAATAAATCCGTTGTCATTTATGACACAGATATTCAAAATGGTTGCTGTAAACCTTTAAAAGGGATGACTTCAACTTTACCACGTGTAATCCTTGATGTTATAGCTTCCTCGTATTGAGTAATCGTCTTTCAAGAAAACATTGATGGAAAAACGCAAGTCCTGGAATATTTTATCGACTGGGAGAAATAAACTTCATAAGCGGGTGTTGCTCAAATAATTCGACACAGAAATGAAAATTTCACAATTGGAAAAATCTAAATTTCAAGTCAGTCAAGAAATAAGGTAAATCAAACTGTATCAGTGGTATCCTTTACTTTTTCTTAAGTATAAGTTCATTCGGATAGATGCATTCGACAACTTTATAATCCAGTAAATGGGTTTTATCTCTAAAGTTCAGAATTAATGCAAGCCACTTACATTTTGCTTTATAAGCTTCTATATTAACTCTGTCTTATAAGAATATATGAATAAAAAAGTCAGAAAGCAGACTTAGGGTCACTGTTGGTTCCCATAGAAATGCCAATTACGTATATATTAAAAGACATGTCTTCCGTACGTAATCAATATGTTTTCAATCCAGTATTTTGAGGATGACAGTTTCAGTGAATTAATTTTTCTCAAATCAAATATGATTTGTACCGTCCTTAAACAATATATTTGTATCTGTAATGGCAAATCTATTTCATGAAACAAAAGTTGGACTAATTCTTTCAATCTGGCATTAAGTGTAGAATGAGGAGTACTGCCGTAATTTCAAACGTATCTGCCACGTGCGTTACTCGAACTCACAATATCAGTGTTGACAGACTTGTGATACAGTGGTTAAACTAATTAGACCACTAGGGCATTTTGAATATACCTTACCTCCTATTTGCATATTTTGTTTTAGTTCAGTCAAAAGAATTGCATAAAAGATTGTATTTGTCCGTAGTATCCGATGGAAGCTTGACTTTAAAAATAATTTGGGTCGCGATGTTATGTAGATGTATTTTGATATAAAATTACAAGATATTTAAATTTATGGCATGTACCATAAAAGTAAACAATAGTGGGTTAATGGTAATGAACATCTAAAATGTTATGTTAACATGTCAGAAAACTGAAAATTTAAGGCAACAATAGTTAAACGATGTTGTAATTTCATAAAACGATATATGTACAAATCAGAGTAACAACAAAACCTGATGGTATCACATGAACTCAAAACGTAGCGAGACCGGATTTGTCGTCAGGGTATGCGTCTTTTGCAATGCATGCATCACCCGCTGTGCGAATAAGAAGCTCCTGTATAAAAGTCAGACGATCGGTATATTCAAATGACACTTCTTACAATCTTAGGTTATTTTATAAAATCTGGAAACGCATTTAATTACCTTAATTTTTTCAAAGGCAGTATGATAAATAGTTTGAAGGAGTGGAAGCCAAATGTGGTTATACATTATGGAAACAGTCTCATTTGTCAATATCCAAATCAATTATTTCATATCAAAGTTAAGAGGAATATAAAGGTTAAGCCATAAAACAGTTATAGTGCCTTCATGATTATGTCGAACAAATTACATCAATCGAATGGAACAAAAACATTGAAATGATCTTGCGAGATTTAGCATTTTATAAAAGTATTGCTTAGTGTCACTTTGCAAAGAGCATTGCAGGTCATTCCAATTTCTAATTTAAAAAGAGACATATATATCATTGCCTTCATGTTAAGATACTTTACTGGATTGAAAATGTCTTATAATCATAGAGGTTTAGGATTATATTTCTATTAATTCATACAATGTATTATGCAAATAACTTGTCCATATTTCAAAGTAAAACTCTGTTTCGGATCTTTTATCTAACACGAAATGTATTTATAAATTCTTGCAAAATTTACATTATTTTCAATTCCTTCTTTCAAATGATCATTTACGAGATACATTAAAAATTAACGAATTTTACAATAGGGTTCTCGTTATAACTTTCCAGTTATATATTGCTTAGCTTATCGAGAATATTATGTATTATGTTAGACAACTATGGCTTGTAGAAAAGGTGAAGATCCAAAAGTGTCAACTCTTAAATGCTATTTCCAAGAGGTTGCAGCCCGAAGAGAAATAACTTTTTAGGTATAAATATTTTGGATATTCACCGCTTCTTAGGTGCCACAATTGTTTTATTATACCGAACTAAAAGTGAAAGGGCCTTTCAAACCATTGAAGCTATCCGTTAAAGATACACACTCCTTGTTGTTGTTAAATATTGTCGTACGTCAGGGACTCACTTGTGTCATGGAATTTCTGGTATTTGCAAAAAGATAGATTATTTTTTTTAAATATTCATGGCCCGGAAAAGGACCGCTTGTGAGGGCTATCCGCGGCACCAGATAAATTTACAAACCTTGTTTCCTCGTTACCGATGGACTTCTAATCTGGCCATTGCCATCTGGTTTAAAAACTTTTGTGACCTCCTTTTGATGGGGGATAACTCCTGTACCAATCAAGAAGCTTTAAATGTTACTAACCGCTGAACAGTATGTTTATTCATAGCTCGGTATAGAATATAAGAGTTATTCGTCCTTCCTTGCAGTTAAATAAAAATTAATTCAACTATAACATGTCACATGATAATGTATAAACCAAAAGAATTGTTTATAAAATATGTACGGTATGATAATAACCAATATTGCCAATTAATCTCACTAATGATACCCCGCTTCAAGTATTCGTCAAACAGGAAGTTAAAGAGAACTTATTCTGAAAGCATGTTCATATGAAGCCTGATAACATAATTTTATAAATTTCTATTTTGTTGTTCCCTAGAAAAATGCGACAAAAATTTCATACATGGCCTGTATGTGTTTGTGTCATATATAAGTATTTGATAAACAGGACGTTATGAGCAATTATTCTGAATCAAATAATAATCACAAAGTATAGCATGCTAATATGAACCCTAATAACAAATTTCAGAAACCTATTGTTTATCATTTCACACATGGCGTTATGTTTAAAACATAGAAATATTGCGTAAACAGAAAATTGTTGAACGATGCATCTGAAACAGGTCACGTGGTATAACAAGCTCACATGAAGCCTGGTAACAAATTTCAGGAAACACTGATTCGTAGTTTCTGAGAAAAATGGGAAGGTAATTTCATTGAAAAAAAAAACGGACGGACAGACAAGATAAAACATCATATCTCCCCTCCTTCGTAGAGTGGGTAGAATGACCGTTTAGGTCTTAAATTATTTACTTGTGAAGGATATTCCAGAAATCGGGTCGTGCACACTGAGATCTGTGTGATACAGTTATAATACATTGTACATAGATCCGTTATTGTTGTGGTTTTTTTTTTTAAATTTCAAATTACCTTTTTCGAACTTCCTGTAAAAAAAATGTTATTCCGGAAACATTGTTCTATGTAATCAGTATGATACGTTTTTAATTATTTCCTTCCTATCTATATTTATACCTGTTTTCATAGACAAATTCACAAGTAAATATAAACACTCACACACGAACACACACACGCAAAAAAATATTCA